GTGTGTGTGTGTGTGTGAGCTGATGGATGAACTTGCAGTCTGGTAAGCAGGGACATTCCCCTCTCTGTTCTCTCTCTGTGCCATGGAAACCAGACGGGAGGGCTATGGTGGCCCACAGGAGCCAAATGAGGCGGCAATAATGCAGCGCTTAACCCCACATTGAAAAATGACTTCATTCTCTCATCAATAGAGCAGTTCCGAACGCCCCGCCACGCTTATGCATGCACATACACACACACTCACACAAAAACATGCACATGTACGTAATTGAAACGTGCAGTGGGTATTTCCCATGGTTAAGGTATGATACAGTTAACTATTATGCGGTTCAGACACACACAGATGCACAGCCTCTCATGCATACACAGTATGCGGTATGCTGCAGTGCGGAGAAACCAGTTTGTTCTTTGGGTTGATTGAGGCTGGTTTTAAATGGAGATGTGTACATTTCTCTGTTTGTGCTTTTTGTGTAGTCGGAGTGTGTTAATATTCAGTCAGTGTGATACTTTCAGCTTTGTTAGGATTCCTATTAGCTAGTCTAGCAGATACTAATCTCCCTGGGATCCATTAATATTAAACGAAAATACAAAATAAGCAACAGAGACAGCCAAGTGTGAAAGATCTGACTACACATTTCAGCTTGTTGTAAAACGTAAATCATTTTCCGAGCAACCGTCGTTTCCTAATTACCCCCCAAAACGCTCATTAATTCAAGGTCATTTTAACACATCACCATGTGCATGCATGCAAGCATAGAGCTTATTGATCTGGCCAGAGGTCCAAGACGTTAATCCGACAACAGCTGCTATTTATGCGTGTGACAGAAAGAGAGAGAGAGACCCAAAGGGCTCTTTAAGATGCTCCTTATTTCTGTGTCCAGTGGCTCTTTGCTCACTTAGTGCTGCTATTGTACGTCTTTCTTCCATTAGTGTGTTAGTGTGTGTGTGTGTGTGTGTGTGTGTGTGTGTGTGTGCGGGTGTATGCGTGTGAATGGCAGAGAGAGAGAGAGAGAG